GATTTGTACATATTATCTTTATTAACAACTGAAGAGAATTTATTAGAACATAAATTCACAGCAATCAGAGGTAATAAAGTCGAGCCTGAAAAGTGTTATTTATTCAACCTAGGATTAGTTACTGCTGATGATTTACTCAACACGTCACTAGATGTCGCTGCACTCACTCGATTTGCTCACTCCGATCCAAAACTTTTCTGCTCACTCGTCAAACTACAGTATAAATAGAGATGATCAAGTGAACACAAGTTCATTTGTCATTCAAACTTTGAACAGTCAACATGGAATATATTTGTGCTTATTTCGATACTCAAGGTATCTATGTTAACGGTACTTATCATCCACAAGAGGTTGCAATGTACGGTGATGATCATTTAATTCATGTGAAAGTGGGTAAATTTTGTGAATGTAAACCAACACCTAAAGAGGAAAAACAAATACAATATCTCGAAAAGTACCATCATGGATTAAAATATAATGGATTCACTAATGGTTTAAGTTATGATGAATTGGAAGCTCTATGTGTAACTTTTTATAGAGCTTGCAGGAACAAATCAAAATTAATTGTAGCCGTTCGATCAGTTGAAGCAGAAATTGTATTGAATAAATTCAATATCCCTCTAATTAATATCAATCAAACGTATGGTGCTTCGTATAAACTCATTGACCAGTTAAAACAACCATGTTATCTACATTCTTCTAACGTGAACACAAGATGTTCACTAAATATTGTCCAATATATGAAGAAACATATGGACTATGTTAAAGAACATGGAATCGATGTTGTTGATAACTAAATTTCTATTAATCATTTCAAATTTATGTTAATCATTTTTCAAAAATTCATATTCATTTTCAAAAATTCATATTCATTTTCAAAACTCATGTTTATCATTTTTTGTAAAATTTCAATTTTCAAAAAATTCACATTAATCATTTTCATAAAAAAAATTCGTAAAAAACGTTTTTTCAGATTTTTCAATAATCTACTTAAGAATAGAAAACAATAAACAATTTAAATCTTTAAAATGCAAATTTTCTCTGTTTATTTACGTCATCCATTTACAATGATGATTGCTGGTCCAACAGGTTCGGGTAAAACTTATTGGATTAAGCAATTAGTTTCAAATGTTAATAAATATTGTTACCCACCACCAGAAAAGATAACTTACTTTTACGGAGAATATCAGGAAATATTCAGTTCAATGCCGAATGTTAATTTTATTCAAGGTTTACCTGAAAATTTAATACAAAAATTTGATGGTATAAAACCAGAATGGATTATTATTGATGATTTAATGTTTGAATCAACAAATTCAAAAGTGATAAGTGAATTATTTACTAAAGGATCTCACCATCGTAATTTATCTGTTATTTTATTAGTACAAAACTTTTTACTCAGAATCAAGAAATATATCATTAAATTCACAATATGTAGTTTATTTTAAAATCCTCGTGATCAATCAATGATAACTAATATCGAAGACAGATTTTACCTGGTAAAGTTAAAAGTTACAAGATATTTATGAAGATGCAAAGAAAACCATATTCATATTTATTTTTCGATTTAAAACCTGATACACCAATAGAAACTAGATTTCTTAAAATGTATGATGAAGAACCATATTACACATATTTAGTATAAGAAGTTTGATTCTTTTAGTTAATTAAAAATGACGGTTAAACGTGCACTCAAGTGTTATTCTTGCTTGCGACAGCTTGCAAAGACGAAATCACATATCCAAAGAAGAAAAATCATTTCCAATTCACCTAAATCTATTTACCCAGTAATTACTGATATTGCTAAACAAATCTTGAAAGGTGTAATACCTTTAAAACCCAAACATAAAACCCAACTCAAACGGTATAAGAAAGATTTACGTCTTCTCACCGGTAAATCTACATTGAAACAGAGACAAAATCTGATTAATCAGAAAGGTGGATTCTTACCATTATTAATTAAACCAGCATTGACACTATTAGCAACAATTGCTGCAAATCAATTGTCGAAATAATGAATACAGTAACTCGAATGTACTTAGTTTCTGAAGATCAATATAAACGTAATGTTTTGAGACCCAGTGTAACTAGACGTATGTTGAATAAAAATTTACCAACTGAAGTTAAAGTTAAATTCATTAATAATATGTTGGCAAGAACAAAAGAACATAATCTCGAACATCAAAATTACCGTGGAACCGAATTTTATAATGAAGATCAACAATCAGAACCATCAGAATTTGAAAGTGCAGTTTCACATACAAATGATCGGACTTTAATTGATACTAAATCGGAAGATGATACATTACCAATGGAAGCATCGAGTCCATATCGTTTACCACCAGAACCTGTAAGAGTTTCTCCGTATCCTTCAAACTCAAGAATGGATGCAAAAGATGCACTAACAACATTAATCAGAGGGATCCCTGGTTTAGTTACCGAGAAAGGGAAAATCACAAATGAAACTGGAATACCTTCAAATGCGAGTAATATAGATGAAATCATTACTTACTTACGAACTGTTGGTGCAAGAACTAAATTCCCAAATGGTTCAAAAAGAGTATTATCAATGATTAGATTAAAATATCCAGGTGCAGTTAAACTAATTAAGAACGAAAAAGCAATTGAATTTATTAATGACTTAAAATGGGAGGATTTAGTATCGAACAAGAATTAGAAAAAATATATTATGATCCTGAATCATCTGGATCATTTGGAGGTATTAAAAAATTATATGATACTGCAAGAATTAAAATTTCCAATTTAAAATTCAATGATGTTGAATCATGGTTAAAAAACCAAGAAACATATAGTTTATTCCGTGAAAGAAAGAAACCATTCCCAAGATTACCTATTCTGGTTGATAAAGTCGATGAGCAATGGCAAGCCGATATTATGGATATGAGTTGGCTTTCAAGAGCCAACGATCGTTATAAATACTTATTAGTTGTTATTGATTGTCTAAGTAGATTTGCCTGGGCAATACCTTTAAAAGATAAATCTTCAAATTCAGTTATTAACGGATTTAAAGAAATATTCAAATTAAGAAAACCAGAAAAATTACAAACTGATCAAGGAAAAGAATTTGTTAATCAATATTTAAAACAATATTTACAAAAACTTAATATTAATCATTTCACATCAACTGATGATTTAATTAAATGTGCAATTGTCGAGAGATTCAATCGTACATTAAGATCTCGAATTTATCGATATTTACATTATAAAAACAAACACAAATATATTGATGTATTAAATAAAATAATCAATTCATATAATAATTCATATCATCGAACTATTAAAATGACCCCAATTCAAGCATTAACTAACCAATCATTAGCTGTTAGTAATGTTTTCCGCGGTCAAAAGAAAAATAAAAAGAAACAAAAACCTTACCAAGTAGGAGATAGTGTTCGAATAACAAGAGCTAAAACTATTTTCGAGAAAGGTGCAACATCAACATGGAGTCGTGAGATCTATTATATAACTAAAGTCAAACATACACCACAAGGATATGTTTATCGTCTACGTGATTATGATAATGAACCAGTTACATCGATTTTTTATCATGAAGAGATCTATCCTGTGGTTGAACCTGATTTATATAAGATTAATGAAGTTTTAAGAACTAGAATAAATCCACGTACTAAAAAGAAAGAATATTTCGTTTCATGGGTTGGATATCCTGATAAATTTAATTCCTGGGTTGATTCAATTGAAAATGTCGAATGAATTTGTTGTTGATGTTATTTCTAATGCCAGTATGGATATTTATAAAAACAATACATTATCTCAATTTACTAATCGATTACCTAAAAAACTTATTCTTGATGGTGAATGGTCGGTAGCTGTTCAAGAAATTATTTATCCTCTTGCACATAGAGGCAATAGAATGAATGTTAAATGGTCACTCAATTATAATGAGTCTTATTCTCAAAGATTTCCTATTCATCATACATATAGTTTTGAGTACAGTGAAAGTGATAAAATTGATCGGATTATTGATAATTTCAATAAAGAAATGGAGAAAGCTTATCTTAATGAAAATCCAAGTATAAAAGTAGGAGGTATTAATAGACCTCCGAAACTGGAATTAATTAAAGTTAATGATGATGGGAAAGAAAAAGATAAAATACTAATGAAACTTGGACGTCATGAAAAACTTTTACAACCACTTTACCCCATGTTTAATGACCAATCGTTCTTTAGACTTCTCGGTTTTGATTGGTACGTGTTCAAAAAGAGAATTCCTGAAGCTAAGAAAAATGGTTCATTTGAAATAACTGCTCCTTATCAACCTGATACTGGACCGAAAGGTCATTTAGTGTTTATTTGTACTGATATTATACATGAACATTTAGTTGGTGATACTCATGCAAGAGTCTTGAGAGTGATACCGTTAAATAAAAATACAGGTGATACATTAGCTCACATTACATTTACAACACCATATTATTATCCAGTTAGAATGAATCAAATTGAGGAAATAAGTATAAGAATTGTCGATGAGAGTGGTGATAATATTAAATTCAAATCTGGACGTGTCTTTCTAAGTTTACATTTTAAACGAAAAGAAATTGTTTAAGAAAAGAATACTGAATAATTAAATTAAAAATGAATCGAAAAATATATTGCCCGTGTGATAGTGATTTCAGTCATCATTTCCAGCATCAAGCTGGCTATGGAATATCTGATATTTCTGTCTTTAGAGGTCAACCATATCAGAGAGGATACGGAATTGGATCAGTTTTTGCACGTTATGGAATCCCAATATTAAAATTTCTAACTAAACATCTAGTAAGAACCGGTATGAATGTTGGTGCTGATTATCTCGCTGGAAGTGACTTTAAATCTTCATTTAAGGCTCACGGTAAACAGGGTTTAAGAAATGCAGCAAAACAAGGTTTGAGTAAATTAAGTGACTTAGTTGATCAAACGTGGTATAAGAGAAAACGACAAGTTAAAATAATCAAGAAAAAGAAACGTGATATATTCACATAATGGAGTACTTACATGAATCATCTATGCCTGCAAGCAAATCTGAATTACAAGTCTTTTCAATCCCACCAACACAAACAGCAATTGAAAGTAGTTATGAAGTGGAGTACCGTCCTAATGCAAGTCTCGAATCTAGTAATTTTTATGAAATTAATGTTCCAGCAAGTGAAGATTTTACAGATTTGGCATGTACAATGCTTCATATTCATCTTAGTGTTAAAACAGTTGCTGGTGCAGTACTTACAGAAGCAAATAAAGTTAAAAGTTACTAATTTTGGTAATTCGTTATTTGAACAAGTGGACTTATCTCTTGGCGCAGTTAATACTGTGCAAGCCAATAATACATACCATTACCAATCTTATTTTGAAGATTGTTTTTTCCGATTTCCCAATCCGATGGATTCCGGATTCCAAGTGTCTGAAACTAATTTACGATCATCTTTTGACTTGTATTTTCGTTTACATTCTCCATTATGAACAGGATAAACTTTAATCAACGGAGTTCCGTTAACATTTAGATTCACTAAGAGTCCTGATGGATTTTCATTAATCAAATATGATGCAGCTGATACAGCTAAATATGAGATCAAATTTGAGAAATTTTCTCTACACATCAAACGTGTTAAATTATTCCCTGAAGCTCAAAAAAGTATAATTGCAGGTCTTGAAAAAGGCCCTGCAAAGTATTTCATAACAAGGAACGATACTAGAGTTTTCTCAATTCCTTCAGGTCAATCATCTGCTTCAATCGAAAATGTATATCATGGTGTTTTACCGCGTAGAATATTAATTGGTTTAGTTAAAGATGCTGCTCAAGAGGAAAGCATTTATCTCGATCCCTTTGAATTTAAACATTTCAATACGAATTTTATTTCACTTAATGTTGATGGTAATATGATTCCATCAATTCCGTACTCACCTAATTTCAGTTCTAATTATTATATGAGAGAATTTATTAATTTATACCGATTCTTTGGACAAGATGAAGGTATCCCACAACTTAATATCACATATGATGAATATGGTAAATCATCTACTTTATTTGCATTTGATCTCTCACCTGACGGATCAATTGGTGCTGAGAATGGGACATTATCTCTGATCAAAAGAGGTAATATAAGACTTGACATCAAATTCAGTGATCGATTGAAACAATCACTTAAAGTTATCGTTTTTGCTCAATTCGATAATCTAATTACAATTGATAAAGACCGTAACGTAAATTTGGATTATTGAGAATGTTAACTACAAACGATATAATTGAATTACTTACTGATGTTCCCTGGTTTGCTGGCGTTTTCCCGATCGATCGATTACCAACAAATCTCAGTAAAGATAAAGCAATTATAATCAATTTAGATGAAAGTTATAAAGAGGGGAGTCATTGGGTCGCACTGTATCTCGATACGAATAAAATAGTCCATTATTTTGATTCATTCGGAAGGAAACCTCAAGGGTTAATACTTACATTTATTGAGAAAATATCTGATTATTATCTATATAACCCTAATAAATATCAAGGTAACTTATCAGTTGCTTGTGGGTTTTTCTGTCTTCTATTTGTAATTTCAGTTTATAATCTAAATGACTTTTACAAGTTATTTCGCGGTTGTGAACATATTAATAATGAGACAAAGTTGTTTCATGTATTGAAAAATTATTTAATTTTATGAAAATGATTAATAATTTTTTGAAAATAATTGATTACGTGTTTTTAGTATTGAAGTTATTGTTGGTCTTTGATTCTATAATGACCATATGGTAATGAATTAATTTTATCAAGATAATACCTTTTATCTTCAAAAGGGGTTATCATGAGTTTGGTTTGATTAATTATTTTGATATTATGATCTATTGATTGAATTCTGGAAGCAGTTCCTGTTTCAGTCGATTCGTTTAAAAGACAATTTTTATAATCATCGAAAGTGACCTTTTTGAGTGCTACTCTGGGTACTCCTTTGGCTTTTTTAACATCGGATAATGTCTTCAATGTATAAAGCTTCGGCTTAATACCAAGAAACTCTACGATCTCATCACCGGCCACCTCATTCTTAATGTAACCAATTTTTTTCTTATTCTCGTTAGAGAAAAGATGATGTGATGTGGGATAATTGGAGAAATCCATAAGGTGGGATAAATTTACAAGATCTTGATCAATGTTCTCGGTTTTGATATGATAGATTAAACTATCGGTGTCAGTATAAAGTAATTTGATATCATCTTTAAAGTATGGTTTAAACTGTCCATAATGTAATTGATACATCTTGAGTTTGGCCAATTCTAAAATGCTGAACCCAACAGCTATTGGTTTATCCATCTTGACCGAGTTGTTTTTCATTTGAAAAATGACTTTATCTTCATCAAGAATTACGAATTTTTTGACAAGATTCTTTCTCATCATTCGTTCAGCCTCAATATCTTTTAATGCGATATCAATTCGAACATGTTTTCTCTTATCTTCTATGGTTTTTCCGTATATTGCATTGACAAGTAACTTCCAAAAATCTTTTTCGAAGTCTGTTTTTGAGTTCTGTCGATTGATAGTACAAAAATCGACATACCCCGCTAACCATGGTGATTGATTGAATTTGATAGTCCGGTGAACTTTGGTTACTCTAATTCCAAGTTCTATATAGTACTTTAGAGCTGAATAATGGATCACATATCTGGTTTTACTTAGAAATGAAGTCACGAGTTTTGTTGATGGTACTGATTTGATACCTTGATTACTCAGTTTTGTTTGTAATTCTTTCTGATAATCACTATACATTGAAAGATCAATTTTCCGTTTTTCTGGTAGTAATGGAAAATCAGAATGTGAATCATGAAGTTCAGCTGGATACTCGAGATCAACTTCAAGTATATACCCTTGACCATTATCATCAGATGTTGAAAAAATTTCATCTAATGGTACATCACACCATTCAAAGCCATCCAATGGTAAGTATTGTGACATGGCATAACCATAAAGGTTATTTACGTCCAAGTACAATATCTTGGTAACTGGTTCTTCGTGGTTGTAATTTGGTAACTCAGGACTATTTGCTCTAGCATATCTTTGGCTAACCATAGTCAAACCACCTCGGATACCTGATTCGATCATCAACAGCATATCAACATCAGAGAAAATCTGAAGCTCGACAGCTGTTGTCTTCAGAGCTGCAGCCCAAGTGAGACCAGGGGATGAGAAATGATGAAGAGGGTCGATACCGAAACTTCGAAGTGCCATCTTACGAAAACTTTCAAAAACGGCAGTCAATAGAATTACATCTGTTTTAAGGTATATATCATGTAGATCTTTTAATGATGAACAGTTGAAATTAGTCCAAACATCTTTGACGTGATTGTATACCTCATCAGAAATAGATGATTCGGTAAGACTTGAGTAAAATTTATCCTTATGAGGAAATGATGTTTCATTAAATCGATCAAATGAATCCAGATATTCATAAGGAAGAGCACCTTTCTTCATTAAAAGTGATAAATCACCAGTAAAAAGTTGATTGAGATAAAATAATTTATCATCGATTGTTAAATTGGCTGCTAAAGCATCCAAACTTGCTGAAAGGAAAGCAAAACTGTCCATAAATTTGAAATTGTCAATGATGAACCCGATGAATTTTTCTGTTGTATGAGCAATTATACTCGGTTTATCTTTGAACATTGATGAGTCAAGAGCTTTGATTATTATATGACCATCAAAGTTTTTCAAGTTATGAAAAACAACTGGAATTTGTGTCGGTACTTGATATTCTAGATTACAGGGTTGATGAGCTGCGCCTCTGAATTTTCCGGTGAGATGATCATGATCACGAACACGAATATCAGAGCCCAATGGTTTTGAACAAATGTGACACACGGTGGCTTCCCTGAACTCCTTCTCTTCATTAGATGTTAAGTAAAGTGGTTTGATATTTTTAGCAATATGATCCCGGATGAAAGGTTCTAAACTGATGATCTTTTCTAGGAACTTTTTACCAGCATCTTCGCCAAGGTAAAAATCTTTACAAATGACAATACCATTCCAGTCAACAGCGACGAGACCGTAACTGCATGGAGTCAAATTACTCACAGTACTAGTTTCATCATTGTTTTTTACATTCAAAGTTTCAAAATCAGCATAAATGCAGACTGGAAATTGAACTTCCTTACGATATTGGTTCCTTTTGAGAGTTGAGTTATTAAGATCAGGTAAAATCAATCTTTGCGCTGTGGTTTTTTGACATTCATTTAGATGAAATAACTTTCTCTCGTTGGTATTAAATGAACAGAGGCATCTCTTACAAAAAAATCTATTTCTTTTCTGACCTTTGGAAACCAATCTGTTGAAATTTGAGATGGCATAATAGTGTTGATTCAACAAGAACAGATCAACATGTTTTTCTTTTTCTTCATTACAGATTTTAAGAGGTACAACAGCTTTTGAATCTGGGTAACAGGTATAGACGTTAATAGATAAATTATTTTTTCTCATGAATATTTCAATGTTATCTATTGAGACAAGTCCTCGAACATCAGAAAAGTCATATTGGCCAACAAATTGGGTATAACTACTGGTTCTCCCGCAGTTAATGCTTGATTTATGGAGACTGATCAATACGGAAAACATGAAGCAATCTGTATCGGTTTTCGGTGAAATCAAGCACTTCTTGTTTCTGATGAACAGTGGTAGCTGTTCACGTTCACAACCTCCACGAAATGGTTTATATTTCCCAACAAGTAAATCAATAGATTGGATTTTGTTAACAGTCCAACCAGACCCTCGTTGAGTGAATTGATCAATCTTATCAGTTATAAACTCCAGTGAACTATTTATCAGCTCATCTTTATCTGATCCAGCCAGACAGGGTATTAAGTCAGACTCAAACCCTCCTTTATCAGTTTTATCAGAAATTTGATTTCTAAACTGGACAGTTACACCAATACTGAATTTAATTGCCCCGAATTCATCAATTAAAATGTTTAGAAGTGATCCAATTTCTTTCCATTTGTTCTTGATGACTGCATTCAAATCTGGAGAATCAAGATCTGATGAACGATATTGAACTAAATATCGTCTGAATGCTGAGTTAATTAGCTTGAATGATCCATGATGATCAGGAGCATTTTCAGGATGGTCAAAAGTGATGGATAAACCACAAACTTTGAGATGATTTTGTAAATATTTTGGTCTCGTGTACGTTTTGCCACATTTATCACATGATATGGAGATACCAGAACCAATTTGATTATTTGCTTGAGCTAGTGATCTCGATGGTCCAGGTTCAGGTTCAGGTTCAGGTTCAGGTTCAGGTTCAGGTTCAGGTTCAGGTTCAGGTTCAGGTTCTGGTTCTGGTTCTGGTTCTGGTTCTGGTTCTGGTTCTGGTTCTGGTTCAGGTGAAAAGTGAATCGGTGAAGTACCTTGATCAGCATGATTGACTCGCGGAGCAAATTGAATCACAGATGGTCGATAGATTGTCAAATTCATTGGCTGTTCATCTTCTTCATCAGAAGAAATGTCAATTGTTGATTGAGAAGATAGTATAATCTCTTCAGGTTCAACTCTTATTGGTGGATTTGGAAAAAGCTCGGCTGGTTCTGGAAGACTTTGTTGAGGGCTCTGGTGTAATCCCCTCAATGCTTCAGCACACAGAGCAATCACTGCAATTTGAGCATGATGAACATGTAGTTGATGTTGATTGTGATGGTTCCAATCTTGGTCTTTTAGATGGTGGACCTTCCATAAAATCCATCATTCTACATGGATTAAAACGACAATCACATTGGTGGGATAAATATGATGGTAAGACATCATATTGTCTTTGACAGCATGGACAAAGTAACATTGTGTTGTTTTATTGTTCACTATTGTTCCCTAGATGTCACTTATATGTCAGTTCACGTGAAATTCACTAGATGGCGTTGATGTTAAATAGTTGAAAAATATTCCGCTAGGTGGCACTGTTATCACGACTGAACTCTCAGTTGAGATTCAGACAGAGACGAAGCAGGTTGAAGTAATGTATAGTAAATATACCCTAAGACGTTTATCACTATTAACTATCAGGGCGAAGTTGCCAAACATCAAGCATAGGACTCACTGAGGAAATTTATTAATAGTCCTCTCCTTATATACCCCAAGTGTCACGATGAAAGTTACGTCTGAGAACATAGAAATTTAATTGATCGAGCATTCATAATATTCTGAATGAACTTTTCATAAGCATCATGAAGGCATGAGTTTTCTGAACATTTATTTGTGAACAGAATTAAAAAATTATCATCTGTTTGGAAGATAAATGATGATAAATAAAAATCACAAAAGTGCTGCCATCTTCTGGTGAGAAAATTAACCTTATGAACTAGTGTCGCCATCTCGTGAGTGAATCAAAATTTAGGCGCGCATTTCAAATCAAGCAAGATTTTATTAGAGTCGTATTAAATTACATTCATTTAGTAATAATTGTGACTTATCAGCACTTAATTGTAGTTAATTGGGCTTAATTGTGGTTAATTGTTACCTATTAATACTTAATTGTAGTTAATTGGGCTTAATTGTGGTTAATTGTTACCTATTAATACTTAATTGTAGTTAATTGGGCTTAATTGTGGTTAATTGTGACCTATCAGTACTTAATTGTAGTTAATTGGGCTTAATTGTGGTTAATTGTGACTTATCAGCACTTAATTGTAGTTAATTGGGCTTAATTGTGGTTAATTGTTACCTATTAATACTTAATTGTAGTTAATTGGGCTTAATTGTGGTTAATTGTGACCTATTAATACTTAATTGTAGTTAATGGGCTTAATGTGGTTAATTGTGACCTATTAATATTTAATTGTAGTTAATCACTTAATTGTATTAATTGTGACTTATCAGTACTTAATTGTAGTTAATGGGCTAATTGTGGTTAATGTGACCTATCAGTACTTAATTGTAGTTAATTGGGCTTAATTGTATAATGTGACTTATCAGCACTTAATTGTAGTTAATTTGGCTTAATTGTGGTTAATTGTTACCTATTAATACTTAATTGTAGTTAATTGGGCTTAATTGTGGTTAATTGTTACCTATTAATACTTAATTGTAGTTAATTGGGCTTAATTGTGGTTAATTGTTACCTATTAATACTTAATCGTAAGTATATTAGACATATACGACGTTAATCACTATTATTATATTCAAACATACCGCATTTAGTATATTAGTCAATACGGTCAAATATAGATGGCGACACATTTGCTTCATATGTTTGTTCTCCGTAGAACAAAATTGATTGTTTACCTTCAATTACCATTGTTAGCATCAAATATTAATTGTCTTACTTTGTTCTTTAATTGTGTGGTAAATTGTTACATTGTCTTTTCAAGTTTTCCCTTAATCAATTATTCTCAATGGATAATCGGTAAGTTGATTATACAATAACAATCGTAATTACTCTAATATATTCTTTCATTTTAGTGAATACGCAGGTCCACTATCCCGGATGCTAAGACAAGCGTTGCGTTACCTGAACGCTCCTGGAAGAAATTGTCCAGAATTTGTTGATCGTACTTTGAACACAGCAATTCAAAGAATTGAATTGAATGAAGCTGAACGTGGACGTTTGGTTAGAGCCATGACTGAAATTCGTTCATTGCGGCAGACTGAAGACTATCTCGAGAATGAGATAAGTTCATTGGTAGATGAACTCACTGAAGCCGCCGGCAAAATGGATGAGCTGTCTGAAAGAATTTATGAACAATCAGAGAAGATTGAAAAATTAGAAGGTGATCTGAATGAAAGGGATGAGTACATAGACTATCTACTTATTCGCCTTGAAAGATATACAGGTTTACCAAAAGATGACTTTTATTTTCGTTACCTTCGCTGGTGTGAGGCCAAAACTAGGGAAATTGAGCTCAAAGAGCAGGCAAAAAATCAAGAGAATTCCCCATCACGAGGCCTTTAATTTTTTTTCAAACAGAAATTAAAACGCTATAAAATAGCTTATTCCACTTAATTGATCAAAAGTTTCCTTATTTATTCAAAATACGCGCCAAAAAAAATGACCTGAAAGTTTGATCCAAAAGTGACACTTTGGTCTAGAGTGTTGATCCAGAAGTGACACTTTGATCCAGAAGTGACGGTTGTGCCAGAGGTGTACATTATATGACTACTACTTTATAACAATTTAAACCAATAACATATTCACCCGTAAGGTAAACTGACACTAATTTAGAAAAGAGAGAGAAAGAGAAAGAAAAAAAAGTTGAGCTATTAAATTAAATTAAAATTTTGATTCTAATTAATTCATTATACTTATTATTATGTTTTCTTCATGATTAGTAGCTAAATAGTAGCAACAGAATTAAACATCAAAGGGACAATTAACGATCAAGTCAAATGCCTAAACCATTGATTTTATTGGAAAAGATGAAGAATCAAAAACTTCATCATTAATTAATTGGCGAAGAGAAGAGAAAAACTTTAAAACTAATCATTAATTAATAATCAAGAACCTTTTAAAACTATCAACAATAATGGTAGAGCCTGTTAACTAGTAGTTTAGAAAGTTTGACAACAACAACAAAGACAATTAATTACGATTAAAAGTATATATACAATTAATCAATCAATTGAAATCGATGGTTACACTGAGAAAATCAAAATTGGAAACAAGAAGAAAAACTTTTCAAACTAATATTCTCGTTATTTTGTGTAAGTGTAGAAAAAATTTTCTCAAACTGAAAACTTGGTGAAAGGTAGAAAGGTTGAAAATTAGTTGATTAACTAATTACAATTTCAAAATCAGATTAAAGTAATCATGTGGGGGGTAAAAGAATAAAGTTCATGATAAATTCATGATTCTAACCATGTAATCAGGTTGATTCATGGAAAATTCAAACAATCAGGTAATAAATAAGGTAAATAAACAGTGGAAACAAAATGTTTGCAATGGAAAACAAAATATAAGTAAAAGATGATTGAAAATCGCCTAAAGGCTGATACCATCCACTGTTTGATGAATTGAGACAAGATGGTTCACTCAATTAACAGTCTTCCAAGATACTACATACATAAACTAGTTGATTGGATTTCAAGGTATATATACATAAGAATATGATGATTCTTATCTTCATCTTTATCTTCATCTTCAAACCTTAGGGTTTAAACTGCATCACCATCCAAGCCTCATTATCATCACTAATCTTCATATCAGAGTAGCATTAATAGTCAACGTCCCAGTTATTGTTTATCGAGTCAATTATTTACTGTCTATTTTTTTTCTACTTATTAACAAACATTTCAACCTTTTAATTAGCATCCAAAAGTGAGATAATGATGTAGGTAAATTGTATTAATAATAAGAAGATGAAAAGTATAAAGAAACAACGAGAAACTTTCAGTGAAAATTTACTTTTATCAGTAAGAAAATAAAAAAGTGCTGGAAAACTGGATTTTGGGATTAACCATGAGGCCAACATTTGGACAACGATAACGACCAATGATATGTAATCAATTTTAACAGGTTCCCTGGTAATATAATACATGATGTGTAGATTATCATTATTATTACATTTGATTAAATCATTTTCTTTTGCTTATCCAATCATACTCTGTGATCAGGGGATCAACTTTAATTTTCTTGTCATAATTAGTAGATTCATGGTATCGGTATAGTTGCTGGGTTTATTTGATGCTTGTTTTCATGGAGAAAGTGAGAGAGAGAGAGGGAAAAGTTATTAGAATCTGATCATTTAGTTGTTACTTTCTATCTCGCAATTTTCTTTGTCATCCTCATCAGTGGACTTTCTTGCTGTCAATACGGTTTCATTTTTCTCACCTCAAATATTATCATGGATTCTCATTTGTAGCTAACACAAAGTGTTCAATATCTGTTGTATCCCATTAGAAAGGTTCATCTCGATTGATGTTTGCGAACTCATTGATTAGTCTTTGGGATATAAGACATTAAATATAATTGGTTTTCGTGTTATAACCTGGTAATCGATTACAGAATGTATAACAATACGGAATCATTGTTGGGTTACAAAGGAGAAAAAGGATCATTTTACTTTTTCAATATTAAGATGATGATAATGATGAAAAAAAGCTCTTGGTTCTAATATTTTCTTCCTTTAGGTTAGTAATGATACGTTTATACATTGTACCTGCTGATAGATTAGTCTCAATAGCTAATCCAATTGTTCCCCTCAATATTAAGCTAATAGCAATCTGGTTTTTTCTTTCTTCTACTTTTCGATTTTTTCTTCTAATAGATTTAATTCCAAAAAGGGACTGGAAATCATCACCCTGGGTGCATGTTGATTGCAATTAAAATTATCGCTTTTTTCTTGTAACCATTGGACATTTATCAAATTTACCTTCGTTCATTTGTATTACTAAATCATAAGGTTGGAAGTTAGTGAAAGTTAATCATTCATTTTGGAAACTATGGCTTTACGATCATTGATCATTCGTCCAGAGGAAAACTTGATCAGGACAGAATTAAAGTTTTTCTATTAGAATCAATTCAATTCTGTCATTCAAAGTGATTAACTGAAAATCTCACTAATTAAACTTGAATCTAATCAAAATGAAACAACTTTAAGTTTTTTTTCTCTCTTCTTACTCATTAATTTATCTCTCATCTTATGTAATCTTCAATCTCCCTTCTCTATGTCAACATCTTGCCTGCAAAGACTGATGGTGATGATGATGATGATGAGAAAAAGTTGTTTCCACCATTAACAAGAATCAAGTCTTTTCCTTTTCAATTGATCCAGTAATTTATCTCAATGGTTAATACACATAAAAGTAACAAGTAATTGCAATTTGGTTACATTGAAATTGAGAGAGAGAGAGAGAGAAAAAACTTTCTCAGTTTCGTATTAATTTTCAATCTAAATTGAAGTGATGAGAAGTGGTAACCAAATGATGATAATCAACAATTAACAACAACTCTCAACCTTAATCATTCAAACATAAAGATACACACACACACACTTTCTCAATCCTCATCACTAGAGATGCTCACAAACAATATTATTTACAATTAGTTCAATTGAAAGATTGGTGAAAAATTTTCTAAATCTCAAAGTGAATGGTAATCAACATCATGGGAAAAACATATTATTAACTTGATTGCAATTAAATTTCAATAAACACGCAATCATTTATAATATGTTACCAATTTTTTTCCCAAAAAAAATTCAAACCTGATCAACTATCAAATGATTAACCATTTAAATCTCAGAGCAAACTTGCTTTTTATTATTAAATTGATTCTCTGATTCTGTCTTGATTTAACGAAGCAAAAATATTATCAACCCAAGTGTAAACTGTAAACATGATTTCATTTGGATACATTATTAATATATCATTAATCAGAGAGTTAATTTCTCAAGATTTTTAATCATGAATGAGTCAACAACAAATTGTTTTGATTAAGATCAACGATATTAAACCATTTCAACATATTCACCATAATCTGAGACTGAGAGAAAGAGAGAGAGAGAATTGCAAATTTAAATTATTCAAATTTTAATGATTTAGATTTCCCTTCATACCATTTCATGGTATCTTCATTTTCCTCCTTCTCATCATCCTCATCATCTTGCTATTTCCTGTTACTCTCGACGGAATTGAATTCTGAATCTTGAGATAAATATTATTGTCATCATTATATTTTATCAATTCTGTTTTGTGTCACTCGCTTTGGTGACTTATATATTGTTGAGATGAATATTTTTACTTTTTGGATGGAATGAAAATTTGAAATTCATTTTAATATATTAATAATTTCTGTGATAATATAATAATATTATTAATGATTACCCTGATTCTTGATTTAGTTTCAAATTTTGTTTTTTTGATTGACTCGTGAAAACTATTCCTGTGAGTTTATCGCTTTATATTATAATATATTTAACCTACTCAAGTATCAGCATGATAGAAAATTATTGCTTACATTTTGTTTTCTCTCAATTTGTTTGCAAATGGCTGAATATCCATGGGTGAATATCATCATTATCAGAATTTGTTTGTCTTCCATGTAAATTGTTTTCTCATTTTCTCATGTTTTCTGCATTCACTAGTACGAAAATGGGTTAAATTTGGAATGAGAAGAAAAAAGTTGGTTGATCATTATCATGAGGAGATAAAAAAGGCTAAAAGAAAGACTGAGAAACTGATTATTTCCCATTCGCAACAATAAATTCTGATAACATTTGTTTCCAGTGGAATATTAAAATTCTGAGTTCCTGAATTTTACTCTTTCCATTTCTCATCTACTTTTTTCTGGAATCCATCGAATGAGAAAATGTGAATCTCTCTCTCTCTCTCTCTCTCTCTCTCTCTCAGACACATAATATATATATTATAATACTCGATAATAGTTCAACCTGTAATTGTGAATTATAATAATAAAAATCTTCCATAGTTGAATACAGAATGAGAAGTGAGTTTGAAACAGAATTTCATTCAGGAAACAAGATCAAAGATGCAAAAGGTAAAAGTTGAATGGATGAGGTAACATAGAAACTGTTACAATAGTTGTTACCATGTTAAATATTTCCAAAAAAGTTGAGATGAAAATTTAAAAATGAAAAAGTGAATATAAAAAAATCAGATCAGGTTCTGCTTGGTTGACATCCACAAATCAGTCTATCATATATATCACCCTGAAACCCTCTTCAACTCATAGTATTACATTAAAGTCAATCTGAATCCTCGAACAGAGTACTCAGTATTAAAATAATGAACATCGGCGAGAAAAAAAATAAAAGATTGAATATTTGATTAGATTTGCATGAATTTTTACTGGTGCTAAAAATAGTATCAAATATTTAAATGGAGATTGGAAATTTTCACTCTGAACACTTCGGTAACTCGACAATTCTGACAAAATTTCTGTCTAAATTGGACAACTGAAAAAGACTTTATAATCACCATAATGGTGAAAAATTTAATTTCATCCGAATAAAAGTATTAATATTAGCTGAAGAATTTGAAATTCTCGGACAGTCCCTTATAACTACTGAATAGTAAACGATAAAACTGAAATAGTTTCGCAATGGGAAATTGTTCAACAAACTACCTGAGTTAATAATTATCCATTCCAATTGATTAATTGGCATGATTTACCATGACTTTGATTATCTCACGATCCACTGAAACATACACAATTAAAACATTAGTGTCATTAAATTGGACAATTAGGTTACTTTTTGATGGCCAATTATAATGTAATATTAATGTTATCGGTAATAAAATCACTGAAAACGTATTCACATGCATGAGCAATGAACATTTCTCATAAAGTTCAATGTGATAGGATTCACAATTTGATGTTTCGATTTAAGTTGATCAATTTACTCTATCGTATACTAATTGTTAATCAATAATCTAACCTATGGTTATAACTTGTTCAGAAAGTTTCACCATCAAAGTAATTGGACTGTTACACCAAGGAACCATGTATCATGTTCAGAATCATCAACAAGACACATTATCAAAAATATCAAAGTAAATAAACGTAACGGTTTCTAATGATGAGAAAATCTTATTAAACTGTTGATGAATTACAATAAGATCATTAGGCAATTGTAATTAACCAAGAAACAATTAGCATGAAGCTTCAAGTCAATTGCAACAGAGTTAAGTAATTAAAGTAACATCTTAATTATGTAATGGCTCAGGAAAATCAATCGTAAACTCATATTATAACAATTAAGCTCCACACTAATTGTATGATCAATTTTAGCGAAGCGATTGAAAAAAAGCAATGCAAATGTATAAATAAAAACTAATCAAGTAAACAGTTTGAGCTTGTATTTAGTTGATTGTTGATAAATTGTTCATCTATGAGCCAAGTAGGATACTCTTTATGAAGATTAACAATTTCAATTGTGCTCATGAAGATGAAAAATTGATTAATCTATTTTTGATCAGATTCTCAAAGTGAATGGTAAATTTCAGAATAATCCAATCTGAGAGGTTAATACAAAAAAGCAGCAATCATGCAATAAATTATTGAACACCCTGCAACCCATGGTGAGCTTTCAATAGTCTAATCCAATAATCATTATTATTTGAAGAGAAATTATTTAATTTGATTCAATTGAAATACTACCAACATCATTTAAGGTTATTTATTTATATGGTTTTCTTTCATGATAAGTGTACTTCTAACGCGTGTCACTCTTTGCACGTGTTTGATCAATATTAATTTTGAGATTTTTTTCTTAATGAAAAAATTGTTGAGAATTTTCTGTGTAGTTTCTAAGAGTAGAAAGTTTAATTTAGTAAATTTCTCATTCAGATTTTATTCTGTCAGTTATTACAATTAGTTGTGTGTGTGTGTGTGTCTGTCTGTCTGTTGGCCGGTCAGAATTTATTTTAAATTGCAATGAGATAATTGACCAATTCACTTGATTATTATCACTATTATCATTTGGATTATCCCTCTGTTTACAAATCACAATCTAAAACTTGAATTGATTGCATCTCTCTCATAATGACGGTGGTAATAA